TTACGTAAATCAATTTATCTGATTTTCGTCCATCAAATATAGTTAACCTTTTCACGTTCAACAAGTTGCATACGTTGATGATTATCAAACGATGCGACACCTACATTCACCCATCAACACTTAAACCCAAGCAAGTTTATCAACGACAACTCACATAATTATACAATTCAACTTACATAAATCAATTTGCAATTACTGTTGCATATACAACAATTAACTATTTATTCATTTAATAATTACGTAAATCAATTTATCTGATTTTCGTCCATCAAATATAATTAACCTTTTCACGTTCAACAAGTTGCATATTTGTATGTCTAGAAAGTTACATAAAGAAACAAACAAAGAACATCAATTGAAAATTATCAAGTTCTACATAGCAAACTTGATCAATTCTATATAGGAATAATTGTTACTTTCCATACAATAGATGTAAAATGATGTTACTGTTACTGATTCTTCGTATTGTTATGAACTCTCGTCAATTAATGAAGAATCGTTACACCACTTGCATTCATCGTTGGTTTAAAAAAAAATATATATGAATCAAGTGGTTAAAGCGAAGAAAGAGAGAGAATTGAAAGTCATTGCAATTACTGATCTCGTCGTCGTTATTCAATAATATAATTCAATCGACGCTTCTCGAAAGTGACTTAATTATTGTAATCAATTCGTGCATTATACAAAATTGTAAAAATGAGCAAAAGTTGCTTTAAACAAAATAAATTAATAATGATTGAAACTTTTTGATTGAATCCAAATTTGCGACACGTGCATTGTTCGCATCGATTGAATTGCAAATCCTTGTTGTTTTCTTTATACCAGATTCGATGAAAAGAAAGAACGAAAGAGCAAAAACCCTACCGGTTCAATTGATGTCCTGTTACACGTCGATCGCAAATTCCATCGCAGGATTAACTTAATCCTCGAACTTATTGAAAGTCAATTAACGCACACACACAGAAAATGACCCGAATCTCGTTACGTAATCTCGGATTATGTGACGTTATTTCATTAACAACTGAAAACTCAGTATTATTAATGATGTAAACCGCTCATGATAAAGCTATGAAAATCCAGGAAATCGTTTCTGTGTTTGCTTTCGATCGGTGGGTGCTCTGCCTGGGCTTCTACTACTACGGATACGGAGGAGATACGAGAAACGAAATGACAAAAATAAATTAAATAAATAAATAAAAGTACGCTCAGAAGAAGCGACAAGGAACCGCGCGATGTCTGTTTATAATCTTATCTTAGTTGGCAACGACGGAAAACAACAAAAACAAAAAAAAAGCGCTTACACACACACACACACACATGCACGCACATATTTGATTAAGCGCGAATTTATAGCGCACTCATTGCGGTAGATACCGGCTTACATAAGATTTATTTTTAATTCTTAGCGTTAATCGTGTATCACGCTCTGTTTTTAATTTAGTTTTATACATTTATTATATGTTTCCTACTCTCTCTCTCTCTCCCTGCTGCAACTCACTCATTATCGCGGACACGACCTCTTATCGCAGTTCTTTGTACTTTTTATTTCAGAAGAAAAAAAAGCGTGTAAAACGTTTTGCATACGGTTTTCGTTTACAACTGCAGCGACATCTGTCCTTAACACTCCAATTATAGACGCACCAAATACAGATAATTGATTGTAAGTTGAGTGAATTGAGTCTTGCACAATAAAGTAAATGTCGTTGGAGTTGCCTAAAGAAAAAAACACGATGGAGACACGCCATCTGGTAACGTGTTGGGAAGTACGACGAGATTTCGTCGACGTTGTAAAACTGGTATTTGAATCAACTACACCCATATAAAGGCAGATACATATATTATGCATTTAATGATTGAATAAAGCGAAATTACGTTCATAAATTACGTGAACACAATGTGCATACATGGCGTACGTAAACGCACTCATACATTCGCACACACACACGTCTATATATCAGTGTGTGTGTGTGCAAGCTCGCATGAGCGTCGTTACATAATGTGCACTTACTCTCGTCGGGCCGAGCTCGTAATTACAGATTGCGTGACTCGGCGATGTTTTATTGTGTGTTGGCTTTTATCTAAGTAAGCATCGTCGCAGCGCCATTAAAAATAAATAAATGAATAAATAAACAATCGATATCGACTCACTCAATGGAGCCAAAGGAGGAGAAGGCCCAGAAATCAATCGGATCAAAATGCTTAAGTCTTTATTCTTTTCCAACGCACTTGCAATAATAATAATGATGATGATGTTAATTGTTTGCATTGTACATAATTATTATGGAGAGGACAGCAATTGACGTAAATTGTGAACATTTCCCATATACAAAAATATGTATTCCAATGAAAAAACAAAAAAAAAAAAAACGGTGACATTTCGAAGGCGTCGGATAGTTAATTAGCATTAGTTGCTTCATTTCGAGTTTGAATATTTATGGAGGTTTATGTAATGAAATTCTCGCGTTCAGAGTAGTTCTCTCTTTCTCTCTCTCTACCTTTCTAGATTGCAATTCTCTTCGTTTTTCCTCTCCTTTTTTTTTTCTGTTGTTGTTGTTCGTATAAAAAATTCAGTCTAAATTAATTAGCATGCGGCGTCCGTTTGACCATAAACCGAATGTGTGTATGTGTGTATATGTGTATTCGCGCTGCAATTTTGGCATCCCTGACATTCCCAGAATGCACGAGTGTCTCGGCATGGCATGGCACATCCATTGTTCCCCGAGCCCCAAGGCCAAGACGTGCACGGAACAAAGAATTAATTCAATTACTTACTCACTCTGTACTCGCTTGCGTGTGCTAAACCGCGATTTTATTACTTTTCTTCTGTCTCACTCTCTCACTCTCTTCGCAGCCTTCCTTCTCTTTCTCTACTTCTTTTCTCGCTAATCTTTTCCTTCTCCTCCTACTCCTTTTTTTTTTTAAATTTTATTTTCAACATTACGATTATTCCACATCACTTTTCCACTCGGAAACGCAAAGTATCGCGAACCATGTGCAAACTCGATATGTTAAACTGAAATCCACGTTAAAAATAAACATTTTCATAGTTGAAAACAGATGGCGCTTTCGATTTTTGAATAAATGCTATGCAACTTCTTCTACATACACACCAAACCAGTATAACATTACAACGTCTACAATTCATTAAAACATAATAAAAACATCTTTCATTATGAACAATATAAGATTTTGATTTTTTGATTCTTGTAGTCAATAAAATCATCTCCAAATACAATTTATAAACAAATACAATGTAAGTAATTTAGTTGTCAATTTATGCAACTTCTTCTACAGCAATCTTCAATATTGTAGATTTTTGACAGATTTCTTGGGGCATCTTTAATAATAATAATAATAACACTAAAGTATATTTTGATACACTTTACAACAAAAAAAAATGTATATAGATGGAATAGACAGCTGTGATTTATATATAGCTCGAAACGAATCTCAGGTTTACCACGTGCAATTCAATCATCGACATTGCCAAGACTCGGATAAATCGGTCTGCCGGTAAATTTCATTTAATGCAAGTATGCAATTTGTGGCTGTCGATTGATCTAAATTTACGGCACGTAAATTAATTGCGTCTGTCTGTAAATGATTATTCTTATTTCGTTGTCATTTTGATGATGCAATATGTTAAACGTCAGTGTATTATACAATCTGTCAATAAGTATTGCTCGTTGCAATTGTAGATGTCGCTTGATCTAAATTGCAAAGGGATATGCAACCGTATTTTTCATGCAGTCATGTGGGTTTCGAATGAACAGTTCTTTTTTTTTGATTGATTGGGTGATTCACACTTGGGGAATTTTATTAAAAAAAGAAAAGAAACAATAATTGAGAGTGGGTTGCGTCGTATTTGCGATAAAGTCGTCGCAGCACCCCGTGGACGAGCGAGAGGCGAAGGTCAAAAGGCCGATGGGGGTTTCGTAGTATGTAGTAAGGATTTTACTACTATGCACGCGCGCGCGAGGGGAACCAAAAAGGAACAGAGAGGACCGCATTCCTGAGCTGTTGCGCATATGGTAGAAGCGGCAGCAGCGGTGGTGGCCCAATGGAATATTTCTGGTTTGCCAAAGAAGGGCAAAAGCCAGCAACAGCAGCAGCAACTCCTACACAACTGACTGAATCGTTGTCTTTCGATGATGTCGATGACAACAGCAGGATGATATAAAACAAAAACAAGTTACGGCTACTTGATGATTTAATGAGTAATGAATTGCTGGACTAGGAGGAGGAGGAGATAAAGCGCAGACGTGTTCTAATAAACGTAACCTTTAGCGAGGTTTGAAGGTAAGATAGATGGAAGAGTGAGTGAGAGATATGCGGTGAGTTTAAAGTCAAAGAGGGAGAAAGTGTCTGTGTGTGCAAGTTGAGAGCGCGAGTCGGATCGGATAGTAGAAGAGCTTGTTTATAAACATGCATAGCGATCGGAGGAGAGTGAAGCCGGCCACGGCAGACCACCAATGGGAGTGCGCTTGGCAACAAGGTTAGAAACGAGATTTTTCGATACTTTTGGTACCACCGAGAATGCCTCGGTCCCAAACCGGCTGGGCCTACATTCCAGTCACAGCCACCTCCTCCTACTCCTCCACCTCACCATCATCATCAACTACATCGAGTTAGCAACTAGGTAGTTGCAGCAGTTGCCACTTTCAACACTTGCTTCAGCAGATGAAAGTAGTAGTATAAAAGAGAGGATACGCTGCGATTAGGAGCCGTTAGATTAAATGCTCTTTGCAGTTGTTTTATTCCATCTGCCGTCCTTGTCGCACTCATTCCGCGTGTGTTATCCTTGTAGTTTTGCAACGCCGTCTAGTCGTTCGCGTGAATGGGAGAGACGCGCGCGCGGTTGGCTTGCTCGGCAACAATGATTTATAAATATACCATGCTCGCAGATGGATGGACTGCTGCTGCATTCACTCACACTCACTAACTATACTATATACCAATGATTATGATGATGATGACGATGATCCTGTCTTTTTTTTTACCTTGTCCGATTCGTTTGCAGGAATCCGCATGTGTCCTGCTGCTATATCCTTCGAGACCCTTCACAATCACAAATTGATGATGGACACCGAGAGATTAACAACAGCACCCAGAAGTACCGAACGCGATGACATGTTCGTCTTTGGTGTACGAAGGAGACACGACCAGCTGATCTTGCTAGCTACCAGATTACTACTATCACCAAGCAACCGGTCTTTAAAAAAAAAATGGGATTGAAGAAGACGAAGAGATGGAAATTGTAGAAGAGAAAGAGATGGAAAGTTGTAGTATGTATGTGTGTTGTATTATTATAGGTGGGTATAGATGTAGAGAGAATGAGTGAGCGAGGGAAGGAACAACGCGCGAGACTCTCGGAACAACCAGCAACTGCGAAACTCTGAACCGAACTGAACGAACAAGTGCTTCGTACGCTCGCTCCACTCTCTCTCACTCACTCACTCTTCTTCACTCGCTCTATTCGTATCTCTCTCTCTTTCTCTCTCTTCGTATTATATAGTATGTGTATACATATACTAGGTGGTATGGGTGCATGCATGTATGAGAGTCTACTACGGCCGTAATACTAGTGTGGGACGCCCGACGACGACGACTACGCTGACTCCATCCTCGTCCCACTCTCACCTCTTCTCCCCCCCGATAAATGGAAATACGATTAGACGACGACGACGACGCGAGAGTTTCTCTCCATTACACTCCGGTTACGCAACCAAATGCCACCGGTCATTGCGAGCCGTCGCCGCCTTTGTTGTTGTTGTTGCTGTTGCTGCTACCAGAAGACAACAACAAACATACAAAAGCAACTTGATTTATAATCATCATCCGCGTCCATCAAAATCAATTCAAAGACCTCAATACTATTACTACTACTACTACTACTTCAGACAATTGATATTATCCTATAAACGTATGATCAGTTGTTCATTTTTCTGTTGCTCCTTCGTCAATACTTTCACATCCAAGTGGGCCGATGCCAAGCGTCGCATCTGTTTCTAATTTGCGAACACACACACGCACATGCACGTACAAATTCCGACGCTCCACTCTTCTACTTTACCTCTCCTCTATATTATTATTTTTTTTGTAATATATATATATACTCTCGCGCGCGCTCGAGAAGAGTGTATTTTCATCTGTTGATGATCTGCGTCCGTTGATTCATAGAAGTATTTTCGGTTTATTCATGCATACACAAACGCCGTCATCTTTTCACCTGGTACGCGCACACACGGACGTCAATTAGGAGAACCTTTAGACCTTTCGGATCAGCCAACTCCTACCATAAATAAACAATAAACAAAACTTCTAAACAGCTTCTTCATGTGAAATCCATTTAAACCAGTGATTTCCAAAGTGGTCTATATCGACCCTCAGGAGTCTATGTCAGCAAAAAAAAAAAATTACTTACATTATACTATCTTATAATATAAAGACATGTACATTATTTATAAAAGTACCTATGAAGTAAAAAATGTATTATATATGTTTATAAAATTGTGTAAGTTGTAGGATGTAGACATTCGATTTGTGGTCGCAATACATTTTGAACTTGTAAAAACCTGCACATAATGATATACCAGTATCATCTTTGCGTAGTCTCAGAGCAAAGATCTTAATAATTATAAAGATGTCCCAATATAAATAATAAATTTACAAAAAATCAATATCATAACCGGGGTCTACGACACAAAAAAGTTTGGGAACCTCTGATTTAAACAATTGAAAGTTGTTTGCGAATCTATTTTGTTTATTACGCGAAATATAAACAGTTTTCAATATCCGAACATAAATATTATTATTCTCGATATCTGTATTGATAGACAAATATATACAGTTTCTAAACTGAAAACAAATAAACATTGTTTTTTTTTTATTAGTAAACTTAAATGTAGTTAGGTGTAATCAAATTAATGATGTCTTCTTCATAGTTTTAGCTTTGATTTTAAGACATCGATATTAAAAAAAAATCTATGACGATGTTCATTTCTTGAGTGGATTAGTGAAAATCCTTAAAGTTTGCCACTGGCTATTGCGGATGAAGCAAGTCAATTAACAAAAACCCACACACTCACACACAAAGCAATCATTCGTTATTTCCTAAAAGCTTGCGCAACTGAGAGGCTTTTTCTTCTGTTGAAATAAATGTGGGTACAATCATGTAAGAGAGGAGAGCAACTCGTTTCGTCTTCAATCGAAAGATACGTAACATAATCGCTTTGTTTGTGTGAAGGGAAGATTGATTCTACGTTCATTTTCATTTTTTTTCTGGGTCTTTTGCAGATCCAGGTGGCGACCCCTGACTGTCTCCTTGGCAACGGCACGCAACGTGGCCCAGGCAGCCCCATTGACGCGGATACGACCTTCACCTCTCTCACTCACTCACACATTGAAGCACACGCGTAAAGAAAGGAGTGTGTGCGTATTTCGGGTCAGATCGGGTCACCACACCTCATCACGAAACAAAAAAAAAATAGAAAGAAAGAAAAGTCGATACTGAAAAGAAAGAGTGAGAAAGAGAGAATAGCGAAGAAACAAAAGATGAGAGAAGGAATTATTTTTCAGGAGATGATTACAAGATGAGATTATTAAAAGAAAGAAATTGTTTTTCTTTATTATGAAAACTCATTGAAGTGTCTTCTAACCAGGGCAAAATGGGAAAAGCAATTAAATCTTATCGTTTTGATATTCAATCATCAGAATACATCAAATTATTCTAAGGATCGATTTCACTCTAAGAAACGAAACAATGCTTAGTTACGAAACAACAACTGTGTTGTTTTTGTTTCCTGTCCAGCCATGTAGATTATGAGGAATGGAATTTTAAGAATGCTCAATGATTTTAAGTTTTCAATGAATTGGAATGTAGGTAGAGAGAGATATGTGCAAATTGCAGCTGAAAGCGCGACGAATTGAACAAGTCCACACGCTGCTCCAAAGTTGACGTCCGACTTTGACCTTTATTTTAGTATTCAGCAAAACCTAAATTGAAATCACTACAGTGATCTCAAATCAATTAAAATCTGAGCTTATCTTTAAGACTGAGAATTGACCGATTTTGGAATGTCGTTGTGTATGCAAATCGTTGAAACCGTGACCAACGAAATTTATGCACTTGACGACTTTGACCTTTCATTTTATTTGCAAAAAAAAATATGTTAATTTTAAATTTTTAATACGAATCTATTCTTTGAATTCCACAAAGTAAACAAAAAGTGTAATACACCATGTGTGTGTTACTGAATCAAGGTTATTATATCTAGCTAGTGTTAGGTATAAAGAAGGTGAGATTCGTTTGTGAATGTCGAACGAAAATACAGAAAATAGTGAGAAGGCAACAACTGGATTTTGTAAATTGAAAATGCAATCTAGAAGCGGTTTTTTCGTCGAGTCGTTATTCTCATCCTTCTCCTTCTTTCGCTACCTTCTATAGTGACATCTTTTTCTCGCTGCAATTAGCACACTCGCAGAAAATTTGCATTTCGGAATATTTACGTGACTCGTTTCTTTGCACGACTACATTTTTGTTGTTGTTGTTGTTATTGTTGATGCTGTTGGTAGGATTCATTAATGGTTTGCGATAGTTTATTCTAGTTGTGTTTCGTAATCGACGTCAGTCTGCAAACCTGGGAAGGTCAACTTTATTCGGTATACGACCTTGGTAATGACCTTTACAAGGACTCCGGTTTCTTGCGCGCTTTAAAGACCGGTGGTTGAGAATAACTGTTCTTTCCTCTTGATCTCTCTCTTCTCTCCTCTTCCTCTGCACTAAGAGCAACAGAAGCAAGCAGCAATTACGTCCCAATAAACAAACAATTAGGAAGGATGTTCAAAAAAGAGGCGAGCAACATAAACACTAGGTGTGCCACATTCGTGCTAATTGTCCATTGTCGCTGGTACATTCCATGGAAGATGTGTGTTTTCGAAGCTAATTGGATGACCAAATATTGGAAGAAGAAGTGCATCAACATCAGCATCAGCAGAAGAAGAAATAAGAGCAGAAGCCGTGTGTTGCTGTGCGCGTGAGTTTTCGAAAAATTGCAACACTCGAAACGGCGGTAATTGCAGTAATTATGAAGTTATTACTGGACCGACCATAGTTCACTTTAGAAAGGCTCGCTGCAGCCGCTTTCCAGACACCTCAAAAGGCCACCTCACAAAAAGAATCCCATCTATTTGGAGTAGCGGCACTTGCGTAATGCCAACAGCAACAACAGCAGCAGCAGCAGCAAAAGAAGAGATCTCCTTTACAGTTTTTCCTCCTCGATACCAATCTCGTTCGTCTCTTTCTCTGCACGTGCCAACAGATCCGAGAAGAGGTGGAAAGTCTTTCGCGTGCAAAAGGTCCACCTCTCCTCACCTCACACGTTATTATGATGGAAAGATACCGGCAAAAAGCAAGGAAGAAAGAGTGAGATTATGAATCACTGAATCTATGAACTGGTTTACATTATTCATGATGTTGTGTCGATTAATAAATAAGTAAATAAGTACATAAATACATATCGAGCATCTGCACTATTTATAGAAAGCGACAGTTCCAACATTTAACATTTACTTCTTTTGCTCCCAAATACGATTTCATTAAGAACAACGCCTCGATTCGATTCGATCCGAGACAACACAAACCATGCAATTATTACATTTCTACGTCGAACTCAAAGATTGCATTTTCGTAATCCTACCGCATTTATTCTCACTCACTCACTCACTTCCAACAATCGCAATCTCAAATTGTAACATTTCGCAACTTGAATTTCATTTAATACAAATCTTTTAAAACAGAATTAGTACAATTCGATTCAAACGCCATCTCTTGGTAAAATAATACATTTTAATCTACGGATTGCAAACTTAAAAAAAAATGAAATTAATAAATAATTCAGATGTCATTACGATCGTTCTTATTCGATTTTTATTGATGGAAGGAATCTGATGTATTGTATTGAATTTCCCGAATCCAAGTTGGGACTCGACGATGCGCGAACGCTTTTCAGAAATACCATCATTTAGTTTTCGTGGAAACGCAAGAAACTTGAGATTTCTTTTCGAATCTTGGAACAGTGTAATACAATTAA